TCCTTTAAGTTTCTACAAACCTCAAGTATTGTCCGTCTTCTAACTGAGACAACTCTCTGGCCTTTTACTCAATAACGAAAACGTACTTTCTACGAATTCGAAGGTAGTTTGTCTACTTGCTGAGACAACTCTCACGCTTTACTGCCAAATCACGAGATAACGTCTTTCATGCTTTTCCCGGAGTCTAGTCTAACTTTCCTCGCAAAAGATTGAAGACTGAAGAATTTTCATAAAGTAAAACCTTTAATTTCTTACAGAGTTACTCCCCTACATCCATATTAACCAATCGGAATAGACTGTTTCCTAAATCTGTTCTGTAGAATTTTTGGATTGACAAAGCAACTAAACAACTAACCATGCCGTAATTAACGTTCCTTTGAACAATCACTTATGACCAGCTTCTCCTTTTAACTGGTCGATTTTGGGGAAGGGTCTTATGTCATTCTCTTGAACCATACCATAGCATATGACTCGGTCATGTTACGTCAGGTGGAACGAATTTCCCTTTGAGGTTCAGAGATGAAATAAAAATAATCATCTAACTATCTCTAGCCCTTCAACTTTAATTAAGTTGACTTTGATACAATTCCTTTAACCAATCTTTCTAAAAGTTTTCAAAATTCGACACATCACATACCACCTTTGTGTAATATATTTTATATGCTGAATTGAAATTCTGATTGGTTCTCTTTATATCTATTTGCTATCTTAACCTTTTTAAAATACTATTAATTGACCTATGCTTTTCATAATGATTTTAGCCATGAAGACAGTGATAAGCACACACTTGTATTTGCACAGTTGATTTATACTGATAAAGCATTAACACCCACACTAGAGAGCAATGATTAATTGTTGTCTAGGCTTGTGGAATTTGAGTCAGGGCTTGTGTTTTTTATAGTCACCAGCCAGGGGGATTGCCTCTAAATAAAACCCCAGTCCTTTGGACACACCCCAAGTTAATGCAGATATATTGTATGCACTGATGAGATATATAATAAATTGTTCTTTTTCTTCTTATTATTATTATTGTTGTTGTTGATTTGAAAATCTAAGTAAATATTGAAGTTTGTAAAAGTTTGATTAAATATCAGTAGATAATTTTTAAATGTTTCTATTTTTACTTTTATTCATTTCTATTTTTTGATGAATGTATGTACTGTCCAGTGTGACTTTTCTTGCGAAGATAATTGTTTGCTTGAATAGTAAGTGAAAGAACATTAAAGTGAAAATACATCTAAAGAAACCATTTAAAACAACAGAAATAATATTGTGTGGAGGTTGGAGCCTTTGCAACCATTTGACCAGAGACATTATAAGAAATTTGGGAGCTCTAGGCACAAACTCTAACCTTAAAAGTAACCAGAATTGCACCTCAGTCACTCATTCTCAGATGTAGAGTGTTGCATTTCATTTCCATGTGCATCTGTGTCATTTTAACTATTAACACAACAAACAGCAAAAATTTGGTTTGGGGCCACTGAGGGGCCCTAGGCACATGCCTAGCGTGCCAATACCCTAAAAGGGTTCTGCATTTGACAACATGGTAGCAATTTAACCATGAGAGCTTTGGCCATTTTAGGGTGATATAAATATTTGCTGTCCATGTTAATGTTGTAAAAAGAATGCTGTGAAGTTATTTAAACTCTTGCATTAGGACTTTTGTTCATGAAGCCGTTTGCATTTGTATATTTCTAGATGTCATACCATATGCCAATCATGATGCCCAAAAAGTTTCGAAAAAAGACAAAACATAAAATATTGGGAACATTTTTTTATTTTTACAGAGGTATGTAACTATGATCAAAGTTAATTTCATGATGTAAATGACACCTTTTTAGTTTATGTTTTATTTAGATCCTTTGACCACACCAATAAATAACAAAAATAAGTTTGAACTGACCTACCTACCCTAATTTTGTTTTCGTTGTACATGTAACACAAACCACACATATTTTTATATATGGCTTTTCATGTCCAGTGCCTTAGCTGCTGTGTAGCAGCATCCATTGTGTGGGGATCTCATAGGATCTTATATTGATGTTGTTGTTTTGAGATTAATGCCAATTTGCAAGATAGGCTTTACATGGCAGCAGCTGTAACTGGTGGATGAAGAACCTGGTAAAACCTTGGTAAGAACAACTGACCCAGTGGAAACAATTGGCAAACTTTCTTATAGCTTTATCCATATCCACATTGGATTGAGTACAAGATTCAAACCCACATGGACAGAGAGATGGCAAAGGTTCTGGTTCTTACATTGAATAAATATATGTAAAATATGTTCAGTAAAAAAAGGTGAATTAAAATTAACATTATGAAAAATTTCAGTATTTTAAAGAAAATTGATAAAAAGTTAAGTTTTATTAATGTAGCAGGTATGTAATAAGTTAATAGCAAATGATGAAGTAATGGGGAGGGCAGACTAATGAAAGTTAGAATCTTGAGAAAATGCTATTGTTTGATTTAACACATTAACCCCTGGTTGCTTTGTCGTTTTCGCCTGAAAAACGAGTAGGAAACCCATTTTGGAGGCAATTTCTGAATACATCCTAATACATTAACCTCCGAGACATTTTAGATTAACCTAATGCCTGGTTGTGTTAGAAACGATGTGAGCAGAAAGGTAAAAGTTGGACTTCTTTTCTTCTTTTTTTTGGTTTAATGGACCAAGACTTTTTGTGTTTATTCTAAATCCCATCTTATCCTACGTTTTACAAAGGATCACCTGTCTGTGTGCAGCTCAGACCAGTTTGTTTTAGATCAGAGGCCAAAAAGTCTAAAATCTGGACACAAAATTGGATTCCGACCTCAAGCGAATTTTGGCTGAAAAATACTCTGGTCCAAAAGTTACGTTTTCCTTCTGTATTTTGTAGTGCTACCACATCCTGCTACATAAACATGGCGCCAGGGGTTGAGTTAGACCTGCACACTTAGTTTGCATTTCCAGCCAAAAACACTTTTAATTTTTACTTGTACAGGGTCCCAGTGTGCCAAATTTAGCAGAGGTATAAGGATGCTATAGATGGCTGCAAAATCAATAAAGGTAACGAGACTAATACTTTACTTAAATAAAAACAACATTTTTGGAACTGTATGTAAATTTAGGGCACTTTTAAATTGGATTAAAAGTATATCAAAACTGTCATAGGTGAAGATCTGATAGTGACTGCTTTCGGGCCATGTCCTGATGACCTATGAATGAGCCAATGTAAATTCTTCATGTGGATAGAGGAGATCTGATTTTAATCGGTTTGGGGCTTTACTTATATGAAAAATTTATGTATATCAAGTTTCATCCAATTTTTACCCATGTACAGTTATTGGATCAATGCAGGACACTGTAATATTTCTATTGCCTTTTAACCACTTATAACCCTAAAACCACTTTCTTAATGCAGGGGCAAGCAACAAAGTTTGTTCAACCTAATTATGCCATAATGTGGTGCTGTGGGAATGAGTCAGTTTGCTGAGATGTACGAGAAGCACTGCATAGAGCTTTAACAAGGTTTGAATAGTTGGAGATTCTAAAACAATTATCAGAATTAATAACTAATAAGTAAATATAAGTGTTAAAAAGAACCAATGCAAAAAAGTATGCACCTTGCCCTCATTCTGATGCACTTCATAAATTTCAAAAAACACTTATAAAATGTGGGCACAGGTAGATGAGGATGAGGATCCAGTTTTTTGATACAGAAAATATCCCAGAAATAGCACTTTTTACAGAATATATTTTCTTAGAAAATATTGATAATACCATTTTGGACTTGAAATTTTTATAAACTTTTTAAATTCTCAATAAGGAGAACATTTGTATGAACAGTTTGGACTTAACAATTCTTTTAATAAATTTCAGCATCAAAAATTACCTGGAAAAGAATGTTGCCAATTTTCAAGATTGGCACTTAGTATTAGTTTTAAATTTCTTCTGCTCAGTTGATTGGGGTTAGCCATGCAGAAAAATTCTTATGAGCTTCTCTTAAGCTGTACATGGGAACCTTGTTAGTCATATATGCAAATAGGGTTGATCTTGCAGATATAACCTTTATCACAAAATCTCAAATAGACATTTTGCTGGAATATAATATTACTCAAGGATGATCATGTTTCAGTGCCCAATCTGCACAATGTATTCAATGTATCTTGAAGTTGCAAACAGTTTCATGTAGCAATGTACAAGAAACAATTTTATGTTAACAGAACCCTTAATTGAATTAATGAAGATTATTTTTTTATTCCAGTAATTCCATTTTGTTATATTTGATATTACCAGATTTATCCATTGTTGAATGTGGTAAATATAAAAAAATAATAATAGTAGTCATATTTAAAGATTTAAGATAATATGATGTTATTTAATGGATTATACATTCCCATATAATATCAGTACTTATATGAGTATTTTTCCAAAAGAAGGGTGTGCAAAAAAATTGATCATTATTTCAAAAAAGTCTTTTTTATCTTTTTATCTCTTTTTTCTTTTGCTCTCATCATGCTTACATTATCTGTCCCAGCTTTTATTACTGTTAAGTGTTGTGAATAATATAAAATAATATAATTAAGATTCTTCTTCTTCTTCTTCTTTCCTGCCAGAAACAAATAGTAAATACAGACTTTAAAATGTATATGGTTTGTACTTTCTTTGAGACAAACCCATCCCATTCTGAAACTGTTTTATAAAGTTCAGAAAGAAATCAAAATAATAAAATGTGTATGTGATTTACTTTTTTAATGTATCTTTAAAAAAATTTCAGTAATATCGATACAATATCTGCAATGTGACAGTTTGTTTAGCACTGGGGCATCATGCCACAGATATGTAGCATGATGTCCCAACCAGTCCCATTATCCTGACACCTGGCCTACCAGTCCTAACACTAACCTCATAATGGTTAGTGCTAAGTGAGGCAGCAGTAAGTACCATTTTTAAAACTAAACTCTTAATGCTGAGCACTAAGAGAGGCAGCTTTTTGTTCCATTTTTAAAAGTCTTTGGTATGACTCAGCTGGGGTATGAACCAGCGACCTTCTGCATCTGAGGCCGACAATCTTACCACTAGGCCACCGGAGTGGTCAAACATTAAAATCACAAAGTATAAAATGTGAGTTTTTGCAACATAGTCCTACCATATTTACTGTATGTTTTTGGACCTTGTTTGTTTTCGGACACCGTTTTTTAAAAAATAAATATTTAAATGCACTGTAAATTTCGGACGTTGCGCTGCTATAATTTTTTTGTACAACTTATGTTTTCGGACACAATCTAAGAAGATATGCTGTATTGTTTTAAAGTAAAATTCACAGTGTATTTGCCATTAATTTATCTGATAAGTTTTCTTCATGTGGTTGCCAATTATATAATGTGATCATTCACTTCCATGAACTAATAAAATTTAAAATTCTTAATCACATGTATGTATGTATGTATGTATGTATGTATGTATGTATGTATGTATGTATGTATGTATGTATGTATGTATGTATGTATGTATGTATGTATGATGTATGTATGTATGTATGTATGTATGTATGTATGTATGTATGTATGTATGTATGTATGTATGTATGTATGTATGTATGTATGTATGTATGTATGTATGTATGTATGTATGTATGTATGTATGTAAGTATGTATGAATGAATGAATGAATGCAGATACACAGATTGATGGATAAATAGACATTTTTGTATTAAGCAATACAGAGTAAATAAAAATAAAAAAGAATGAAAAGAAATATGATTTAATGCTTTAATACATTTACATATGTATTTCATGTTCAAGTAGCTTGTCTATAACCTCTTTTAGGTCCTCGGGTGAAAAGCCCTCAAATTCTGTATCACTGTCATCATCCATATCATTTAATTGTTCTGCATTTCTGATCAACGTGTTTTCAGTTCTGTTCAGATTGACACTGATGCTGCACACCTTGAAAGATTTGATTATCATTGCGATATTTTTATTCAATTCATCTATGGTGTTTACAACCCAGTCCAATATAGTCTGCTTGCTGCCTGCCTTGATCCGTTCATTGGTGCTTTTGTCAGATTTTATCGCATTTATAGCATTCCTGATGTAGTCCGTACAGCTGTGGCAGAGGTAGCTCTTGACAGATTTATTGATGCTCACATCAAGAGGTTGCAATTTGGATGTACAGCCTACAGGTATTATTGCTGGCACAACATTTCCGCACTGCAACTGCTTCTTCACATCATCAGTGATGTGAGCACGGAACTAGTCCATAACTTGAAGTGATTGCTCTCTTCTGGTGAAGGGCAAATCTCTTCAGTCCATCGCAGCATTAGCATTTCATCCATCCATGCTTTCTCTTGTACTGCAATAATCCACCCTTATGCTGCCTTCAGATCCAGATGCCTCTTTCCCTTGAAAATAATCATTGGGGGTAATACATTGCCAGATCTTGTAATGGCTAAAATGAGTGTAATGTGTCTCTTCTCCAATCAAGTTGTATGAATCAGAATGCTTTTCTGTTCCTACTTTGTCCATTGTTTTCCCTGGCACAAGATCAAAGTACATCAGTGTTAATCATACACTTGTCATCAAACTCATCCTCCTCACATCTATCCATCAAAAAATTGTGGAATGAAGAAATCTTTTCTTCCAAATCCTTGGGTAAATGTTGGGTAAGAGAGGTCCTGCTTCGGAGAACAAACCCATGTCTTCTCATGAAACCCTCTCCCCAATTATGACGGGCACTGAATTTGCTCTCTGGATATTCAGTTGATACAAGCTCCCTAGCATAAGTACATATTCCCTTCAACAGTGACCGGAATTTGTATGTCACGCTGAGTGAGCACCCATTGAGCTATCTTGTCATCTATAGCTTGTCCATATGAAATGGTTCATCCACACTTAGGCAAATTCCCATTCAAATTCATATCTGCAGAAAAGTCAATTTTCATCCAGGTACTCACTGTGGATTTTGGAATCTTGAACATTTCGGCTTTAGGTCTAATTCCCAAAAGTTTCGCATTGTTAACAACATTCTGCTTTTGCTTTAACGTATAATGTTTATAGTGACCACATACAGAACCAGCCGGAGCACTCTCAATTTCAAGGTAATCAGACTTGTAATCTAAAGCAGCTATCTTTGTAGGTGGTTCTTGTTGTGATGCATCCTTAGAATCATTAATTAATCTACTGGACTCTTTGGAGATGATTTTTGCAAGGAGAGTGCTTCCATGAACTAGGCAGTACCTTCTCACTTGTTGCATAATGTATGATAAACGTATCCGTCAAAATTAGTATAGTACTAACAGTATTTTTTTACAACAATAGCTATCCAGTATATAAACTTAAATAACTTTTGATTGTGGTGGGTATCTTATTTATATTTTTCATTTTACTAGCTTGATTTGATTAACAAAAATATGATTGGTTGTCAGTATAGATATTGTAAGACATATAACCACTTCAAGTAGGTGTGACTTATATGGCATTGATTAGAAACCATGACCCCTGCTTTATAACATTAAACAATACATCAGAGAGTCCATATGGATTAGAAAATTCATTGGCATTGTCCAACAAAACAAACCCCTTAATCCGGAGGCAATACCAGGTATGTACCATAGTTTAAACTTTAAGCAGGTGTGACAATTATGGTTTTGATTAGAAACCATGACCCACAAAACATACCCCTTATCCCTAAGGCATTATGTACCAGAGTATTGTTTTCCAGGTAATAAACCTCTTTGTAGATGATAAATGTTAATTGTGGGTGCTACATATTCAGTAGTTCATGTGCTCATTTAATGAAATCCAGATGGCAGTCTTTTATTTCAGAACACACCTGTCCAAGAAATCCTACAAGTTATATTACTAACAATTATCACCTAGACACCTTGAAATCTCAAACACACATCAAAACAATTTTTGAGCATATGATTGTTTCAAGTCAGCAAGCTCTGCTCATTTTGAAGCTACCCTGGGCTTGGTGGGGGAAAAAGAACAGAGAAGCACAACAAATAGATAGCCTTTATTTAAAAAAAATATAAACATTACAATTTGTATATTGCATCTTGCTTGTTGTTTTCACCCTTTCTAGGCATGTGCACAACACTCACCCCATATGGAACCTCTAAGATTAGCCATCATATATGTGCCAGTATTTAAAGTCAATACTAAAATGTTTCAGTATAAATATATTTAAAATTATAATTTCAAAATCTTTTTATTTAGTTTGTATTAATATCTTAATTGCACAGAAATAAACCTTTCATGTGTTTGTAAATTTCATTTTAATGATCACTGATTAGCAGACAGGTAAACTGGATTACAAGATTACTAATATGGTGGTTCTTTTGGAAATTATGCGCACAATTGTGGCTCTAATGCATGTTGCTGCATTTTTTGGTGGATGGACATATATTAATAGACAAAATAGCCAAGTACTGATATTGCCTGGTTTTCCTTCATTATCCTTTCCATAGGGTTAAACAAAATACTTGTTTTACTTCATGGCAGCACATCGTCAAGTTTGCTAATGGTAACTTTGGTACGGATGTGTTTTTTTACAAATTTATCTTACTGTTTGTTTTCAGACACCTAACTAAAGAATTTAATATGTATTTGGACAGCAAAAAAGTTATTTTTTGCTGTCCAAAAACATGCAGTAAATACTGTATTTCAGAACTGAGATTGTAATGGTAGTTATTTCCCTTGTTAACAGTTATGCAGACTTTTTTTTTTGAAACTTCAGATATGTACACAATATATTTGAGTTTTTAAATTACAGTACTACCAGGAGAGCCACATTTTGAATAAAAAACTAAATCTTTTATTTTAAGCCTCCACAATTTAGCTTGTTAATTCTGGAGATTTTATTGCTAGCAAAACGAATACATGTTCAGCAACTGATCCTAGAACCCGGGAAATAATTTAAAATGACAGAATTATCATTCTTGTGAGTAAAATCAAGTCTTGTTACATTTTGTCAGTTTACAGGACTACAGTTTGGAGACTGTACTCTAGGGCCTATATCTATGTCTGTTGCTGCACAGCTTTAAGATAATACAATTGATGAAATTCTGTTATCTTCATATAATCACTGATATGAAAACTTTGTAGATCATTATTTACAACTGCATCTGCAAAACCACAGTTCTTGACATGTACTGTTGTCAGTTATCAATAATAGATTGAACAATTTAGCAAATTGTATGTAAGCTTATTAATCTAATTTACATTTTTCTCTAATAATTTTTGTCCTCATTTATTAGAATCAGCAATTGATCAGAGGCCATTGCATGCACTTTTTTCATTTCTAAAGAGACTTCTCCGGTGGCCTAGAAAGGGTTTCTGCGCAGGTCTGGAATTCAGGAAAAAGTCTTAAATTTGAAATTGTTCCCATTTTCATAATGTTATTAATTCTCTTTCCTTTCACTAAGTTTAATTGTCACATTTGGTACTGGACAAGACATTCTGTCATATTTTGAACCATGCATGTGGAAGTTTGACAAATGCACATTAAAAATAATGGCTATGTTAGTCCACCAATGTAAGACATAGCATGTGTTGTTTTTGTTTTAGTGCTTGTTGTTGTTTTTGGGCTTAATGCCATTTTTCAGCACACAATAGGCTATACATGGTGGCCAGTATTGATGGTGGAGGAAGAAACACTGAAATCCACGGAAAGAACCACCGACCCATGAGAAGCTACTGGCAAGCTTTCTCACATATCCACATTTGCCGAATCTTAGACTCGAACCCACACAGACGGAGGCAAGATGGCAGTTATCTGTAATGGAGAGGGCTTTAGAACACTTGGCCATTCAGGGCCCCTGTTTTAGTGCTATGCCTTTCTACCCAAAAAACAGCCTTGTTCAGATGTCGGTTAACATCAGAATGAGTAGTATGTTTCAGGAATATCTCACACACTTGACAACCTATATCAACACTCTTCCAAACTTGACAGCTTATATCGACACTCTTCCACTAATTTATGTGTAATTAATATATTTATTGTGCTGATTTTATCCTGTGGAATAAAAATATGACACTAGCAAATGGACACATTTTCACATTCTGTTAACATACATTTGAAT